TGGAACTGGATATCCAGTAGCCCAACACATCATAGACTATATAGAAAGCACAGTTCACAATTTGCATGGCATGCATGTCCAGTATCTGACAAGAGTACTATACTATTTTCATCACACCTATGACAAACTGCCACATAAATCCATTAAGATAAAAAACAGTATTAGTTGTTGGGCTTGTTTAATCCAATCCTGTTTGTCATGGGATGTATGTATCCCTTATTCTTTTTTTTTTTTGTACCAGGGATCGAACTCGGGTCCTTGCACTTGCGCAGCAGGCAGCGAAACCACTGAGCTAAATCCTCAGCCCTGTATCCCTTATTCTTAGAAAATTAAGCCCCTAAAGGACTTATTTTACAATTTATCAAGGGCTTAGAACTCTAAATGGAGAATGAGGGGAGATGCTATGGATTGATAAGCAAAGCAGCTGTGGCCATGAAAAGGTGCTCTAGGACCTGAGCATTTTGGTACAAGATTAACTAGATACCTTTGGGGAAGACATATTCACATTTAAACCTCTTGAACATTCATTTAGTAGATTTAATTTCATAAACCAGATACATTTACTGTTCTAATAGAAATAATGGATCTAGTTCCCCCAAGGGAACACATTATTTGTTGGAATTGAAAGAAAGAGAGAGAGAGAGAGAGAGAGAGAGAAAGAAAGAAAATAAGTGGGGCATGTAATCTCCACAATCAGAGATGCTGAGGCTTAGGCAATGTAGTGACTTAACAAGACCTTAAAACTTAAAAACTAAAAAAAAACCAACCAAACAAAAAAACCCACACATCAGGGATGTAGCTCAGTGCAAAAGCCATGAGTTCTACCCTAGTACTGAAAAAAACCACAAAGAGTCACTTTTAGATTTCATATAATTTATAGGAAATTACAATGAGGAGAACATATATGTATGGTTAGGAAGAACTTAAATCTACCCCCATTGGTATTCCATCACAATGACTTCAACAAAAGACACACTTGTCCTATAATAAACTCAAATAAACAGCTTAATTAGATGAAGCACATAGTTCTCCTGAGATCCTTTAGAGTACTTACTGACAATCATTTCAAAAATGACATATTTCCATTACCTATTAAATAATAAATCATGCGAGCATCTAGCATCCACTCAGTATGTAAAGTGATAAACTAAAAAGAGGTCTTTGGGGAACCAAGTAATTATCCCTATACAATTAGTAGAAAAAAAAATTGTACTGAAAGATCCCAGCAAAGAAATGCTTGCTGAAGGAGTGGTCATTGAAATATTTGCTTTAAAGCACAATTAGGATTAAATTCAAGTTCACAGTGTCCAGGAGTTACCAAACATAAGACTCACGGCATGAACAAGGGCTGCTACTAGTTAGCACTCCTGTGAGCATTTAGATGTGAATCCTGACTACTGGAAAATAAGCTGGACCATACAGACCACATGGCAGAGCAGATCTCTGCCTAAGTAATTTTTAAAAGTTATTATACTTTCCTTACCTGGGGCATTTTAAATGGCTCATTCATAGATCTACCCTCTCTAGGTAGGTTTCTAGACATTGATTCATTGGCAGCACTTATTACTAGTAGTATTAGTATTTTTATTAGTGTGATTATTGTTAGTATACTACCTCTACTAGTATTAATCTGCAATATTTTTTAGATTAGCTCAGATCAGAGAAGTAGCAAAACGCTAAAAATGATCTTTCAAATTCTTCCTTGCAACTAGATGCATTTAAGGTGGACCAAGGTTGAAATCTAGGTAGGCAGACACAAAAGAATATGAGAGGATATTTCCCGTTTTCCTGCAAATATAGTAAAGGTCAGGAGTTCTCAATTTGCCTCAAATATAAAGCTGGGAAGCTAAATAAGCTTTCAATTAAATGATCAATTAAGTAAATGCCTACTATATGGTAAGTGGTCATTTAATAGCAACATTGAAGTGAAGAACGATGAGGATCAGAGAAAAGATAACATTAGCCAAGATAAGAAGACTAGAGAACTGAGTTCGACTAGGGCATCATGCCCGTTTTGGAGAAGGAAAATGAAAGCAAAGTCTTACATCAGGATTTAAGTTATTTTCAAAGTAATGCATCAACTCTCAAATGCGAAATTAATGTCCCTTTACTTACCCCCCATGCATGTTAAAGCAAACTAAATTCATGCCAAATCACCCAGGAAGTTAACAGCAACACACTTTCAGTCTGTAGGATTTAAACTGATTGCTCTAAAAATATAATTCACCAACTGGGCAGCAATGAAGTCAAACATGATCTTCTTTAATCATTTCTCCTGACATGTTCTCTTCCCAGGAATGTGGCCACTGTGGAGCTGTAGCCTGACTCATCTCACGGAAATGAGGGGTTTTATTCCTATCTGCAACCCAGACACATTAGGGAATAAGCAACTGACCTAGGGAAGTCCTCCCTCTGGCTCTGAGCAGGAAGCACATTTAGGCTTTGCTGACCTTGAATCTCCATGTTTTATTTTTAAACTGAGTCCCATGTGTTATAGAGGGGTCAATTTCCTTTTATCTTGTCCTCAGGGGTTGTATGAATGTTCTAACAAATTGCACATAAATAATGGAGCTGATCACAAAACTGATAATGACAAAAATCACTTGGTTTCTTCCATGTAGGTTTCAAAAGTGTTAGTGTACAACTGCGTTTTGCCACAAGTAGAGTCATTTCTGGAAACATTGCCATGCAGGAGCTTTGATTAAGCTTACATCCAGTTTTGAAATTCACAAGTGTTACATTCTAACATCTAGAAGACCTTTGTCATGCTTGGGGTCAATGTTAACACAACATAGGGCCTAGAATTCCTCCATTCACAGCATGTAGCCATTGAGCTGGGATCATGGGGGAACTGTGAGTGGAGTGGGCAGTTATTTCCAGATACCACTGACACAGTGCAAGCGTTCAAATTGGCTCCAAATTCTTTAATGCACTGACTTTCTCAATATCCGCCAAAACCCTAGGGTGAAAAATATTCTTCACATTAGAAATTATTGAAGGATATGGACTTTTAGGCTTACTCAAAGAGTTCAATAAAGGAATGGAAGGATAGCATGTATGTGATCAGAAAAAGTTCTTCGCTTTTAAATAGAAGAATGAATATTCTATGTGTTACTGGTTTTTGTTTTGTTTTGTTTTTGCATTGGTGGGGGCTGAACCCAGGCCCATGGGTATGCTAAGCACTTGCTCTATCACTGAGCAACTTTCCTGCCCTTATGTGTCACATCTTGCTACCACTGCCTGGCACCTGGTCTTGAACACCAACATGATGGTGTTATCTCCATAAATATTTCACAGTAACCATGAGAAATCTGGACAAATTATAAGGTAGCTTCTATCTAAATGATGGCACAGTATTAAAAGAATATTTTTAGTTTTAATATAATGAATAAGAGTGCTACAATATAATATGCCTTACTATTTGATTTGAAAATTTGTAAATGGACTTGGTTGCCAAATGACTCAGTTGCCACTAGTGGCATTTAGTGGGCAGGGCCAAGGATTCCAAACCTTCTGCAAAATCCCAGTATTCTCTCATATTGAAAATGCCAAAAGCACAGCCCCCACTCCCAAAGCAAAGCCAGTTTAAGGAGTAAATGCCTCTATAATGCATGTACATTTGGATCTAAATGATACATCTGTTACAAATTAGCCAAGGGTTCTTTAGCTCAATCAAATGAAAATCACAAAATTGGCAGATTACAAGATAAGGTCTGAAAAAGTCTCCTAAAGAGGAGATGGGGATGACAACTTCCTCCCTCCAACCCATACAGAGTAGGTTCACTGACTTTTATCATAACAAAATAATTTAGACACTTCAGTGAGAGCCACAGGAAGCTTTAGCTTGGGGAGCTAAAGGAGGCATTGCTCTGATGATCAGGCCAGGATATAAAGAAAAGAATGTGACTAGCTTCTATGGATTTATTGGGGTAGGCTAAGGGCTAGTATTTTTCCTCTGGGTCATGAGTATGGCCTCAGGTTTCAGTAGATTTCCTCCCTATTGGATATGGATTCTCACCCATGGAGACAGCTTGGTTTCATTGCTGTTGAAATGAACCTGGTCTTGGCCAGGGATGTAGCTCAGTGATGCTGCACCATACTTTCATGGCAAGCACAAGGTTCTGAGTTTGATCCCTGGTACAGAAAAAAAAAAAAAAAAGAAAGAAAGAAATGTACCTGGTCTTTGCAATAATGAATAAAGGGAGGGAACACTGTTTACACTGTTAGCAAGGGCTGATAGCAAGGGGGCTATGGGAAGTATTTCTGTCTTTAGTGGGTAGGAACTCATGGGTTAAGTCCTGAAAATCCATTCCTCCTTTTTTATGAGAGTATCTGTTCTATTTCAGATCTGTTCATAACCCACTATACTTTAAATATTCTCCTAGAATTCACTATTATTGTTAATTTTAGAAAATCTTTCACAAATATAGACTATATTAGAAACTGTATCCACTGTAATTTTCACAATTTCAAATAAGTAGACAAATAAAAATGGCTTTTTGTTTGTTTGTTTGCTTTGTGACCGAGTCTAGCTCTGTAGGTCAGGCTGGCCTTGAACTCACTATGTAGCTCAATCAGGCCTTGAACTTTTGATGATCCTACTCCTACAATCTGTTGAGTGGTGAGATTATAAATGTATGTGTGTGTGTGTGTGTGTGTGTGTGTGTGTGACCACAGTGGTTTGAAAACATCTTGGTCAAGAAAAATAATGGAGAAAAGTGACAATTCCAAGAGGGGGAAAAATAGGAGAAGTAAAATTAAACAGAGAAGAATCTAGAGATCATATTAAAGTGACTAGTTAGGATAAGGTGGGAGGCCTTGGTAGCTAGAAAAATGAAGGAAAATTGAAGAGGGACAGGAGAAGTAGGAGGAAGTGGGAAGATCTCATTTTCTATAGATTTTGGTAACCGTGGTGATTGCAAGGGAAAAAAAAATGGTCATTAGATTATAGGCAAGAACTCACCTACCAAGATCTCCTTTTTTCTTTTCTACCTTTTCAGCGTGAAGTTTAGAATCCTATATGATGCCAGAAAACACCAATCCCCAACAAAGAAGTGAATCAACAAGCCAACAAAGCTGCCTCTTTGCTAACCATCTCTGTGTGATCCTGTGGAGACATATGAAACCACTGGGAGCAAAAATGTTTTCAAGCAAAGGTCCTTCTCATATACAAATTCAAATCTCCAAAAGGAATTCAAAAGAATGAGAAAAATAACCAGATAAAAGAATCAGGTTTTTTTTAGACAGAGCAATTCCAGTCTTCATTAGGCAATGCAAACAAGCAGGGACCACAGATGGCATGTTCTGGAAGCTATCATTGAACAAAGTCACTGCCTTCCCAACTGATCCAAGTGCCTTTTATGGTTGGTTATGAAGTGGACACCAAAACTCCCAGATAGTTAATCCATTTGTCCTTTACATTGTGTCATCTGCTGTTATCCATAATCCGAAAGAACCTTTCAGAATTTCTGATAGCAGCCTCTTTTCCTTCTCTTAGAGCTTGTCTTTCTTTTGTTTAGGGCAGCAGCTTTTAGCAAAGCATCTACCTCTTGCAAATTCTTCCAAGATACTCAATCAGGACACCTAACAGACATCCCAAATCCTGTAATTTCCTTTAACTTCTTTGTTTATTCATTTGATACCATTTTAAACCTTAACCTTAGGGTGTACACTGTCTTTACTCCATTGTTACTGGAATGGCTCATGAGAACTTGCCAAAAGCTATACATTTCTGTATCCAATGTACAAAGCTAGACAAAAATAAAATAAACCACATTTTCTTTGAGTTGTTGTTAATCACACATAGGTAAGTTTTTTTTGGGAAACAGCATGGTGAAAAGAAAAGTATGGATTTTAAGAATCTCATACAGCCTATTCAAATGCCAAATTCACACTGTTGCTTTTCTAATGCCCAGCTGTGCAACTTAGGTAGTTATTTAACTTTTGAAATCGCAGCTCTAACTTCTGTAAGAGGGACAGGAACAACTGCTACAAAGCACAGGTGAGAGTCTTAAATGACAATCTTTAGACCACATCCTTCCCTTTAAAAGCATATTAGAAAAGGAGATTCAATTAAGCAAATCTTTTGACTCCATTACAATAACCTAACCTGTCAATTTTTAAGTAAGCAGAAAAAATAGAAAAAGCAGTATACTAAATAGATCATAGCTTACTTTTCTTTGGTGATTCAGAAGACAGCTAATATAAAAATAGATAGAACGCAAGCAGAAATTTGTGGCTGGTAGAATGCCAGGTAACTAACTCAAAGTCTGTTTTTAAAGTTATCAGCCTTTAATTGTCCACATGTGCCTGAGATGCATTCTGAATCTGCTTCAAACCAGAGGCTCTCTGTACTTTACAACCACCCAGAGAGTTCTGAAAACATACCACTAGGAAACTGCATCCCACTGCGATAAAACCAGGCTCTCTGACCACAGGACCCAGATGTCAATCAGTATTTTCAAAGCTCCCCAGATGATTCCAAAGCACAGCTAAGTTGGAGAACAGGGGCTTCAACCAACTCCTCTGAAAAAAGTGATAATGTGCAAATGAGTCACCTGGGGATCATATGAAAATGTAGATTCTGATTCAGTAGGTGTCTGGTGTTGGATTCCAGACCTACCTTCCAAACAGCTCTGTGGGGAGGCAGCTGCTGCTATATGACTGACGACACTTCTGGTAGCAAGCACTGAATTCAGTGTTAACAGCTCAATGTTCACACGGATTGTCAAACAATTTGTGGCTTATTCCAACTCTGCAATATAAGCTCAAAGAACACACAACTGTACTATTAATCTTCCAGCCCCCCCAGAAGAATTTAGAATAACGATGGGCCTCAGCCCATCATGCAGTTCGAAGCCAAACATAAATGAATTAGGTTGGATTGTTCATACAACTACCTTCTCCCTCAGTGCTGACATTTGTGGGAAAGTATACGGAGCACAAGGACTGGTTCTGTTAGGGCAACCCAAGGTAATTTCTCAGAGAATTCTGCTCACTTCTCACAGAGTATTAGCTGGACTCCAGAGAAAGAGCACCAGTGAGGACTCAGAATAAAGGCACAGAAGTTTATTCTATAGTAGAATGTGGTAAAAGTCACCAAGGTTTGCAGGAAAGACTAATCTCACTTAGATCCAACTCATCCTGTGACTTGTACCTCAGAAGTGTACATTTATGGTTTTGAGATCAATTCCAATAGAAGGCACCAGCACAATCAAGAGCCCAGTGCTGAATCAGCCACTGCAGTGCTCACTGATTGCTTTATAGCACAAAGCTTGGTTTATCTCTAGCAGGAAATATGAGTTCACTGATAGCAAGACTATTTACTGTATCAGCTTCTCTGTAGTCTTTAATCAAGCTGGGATCCCAACATGTTAAGTCCAGACCTTCCAACTCAGCTAGCAGAAATCTGGTCACCTATAAATCCTCAATTCATAATGAATGCCTGTTTTCCCTAGGAAGTGCTGAAGGTGAAATTCTGCTGTCTTAGAAGTTCTCAGCAACAAATGCACCATTTTGTTCCATGCAATGAGGACACCTACTTACAAGATGAATACAGAACTTTCAATGGGAAAAGCAAGAATTAAAATGATTTCATCCAGGCCCTTTGCATATACTTCATGGCAAATATGCTTGTAGTCATTCCTGCTTTAGGGTTTATGAAATTTGGAGAAATATCTTTGGAAGAAAGAGTAAGTAAATTAAGATAAGTGAACTTGAGAAGTATGGATAGAAAAGCATGTGTAGAAATCCACAGAGTTCCTAGAAAGTAATTTTCATATTTCTGAAACAATGCTAGCAAAATTAAGGATCACAAACATAAGGAATAAACAGATCTTAACTCCTGTACGAGGAGTAGCAATCATTAGACAATAGCAACACTGGTTTTATATTTTCCCTTCTCCTAGACAGCACTGGTTAACCAGGAATTCTTGGGCACATCCTCGAGTGCATCCAGAGATATATTACCCTTAGAATGTGGGTACAAATTAAACTTTATAGCATTTTTTCCCCTAGAGAGACATTTCCATAGATTTCATTACATTTTAAAATAATTCAGAGACCTATAAACTATAAAGTATTCAGAACTATTCAATCACTCATTTTAAAACATTTTGTTTTACTTAGCTCCTACTATGTAACAGGCACTATGCTGTGCTCTCAGGATATAGCAGTGGACAAAATAGTCTTGTATTGCTATCTTTTAGAAAGTGATGTTTTTCTGGGAAGATGCAAACTATTAATAAAATAAGTAAAAGAGACAGCATACCAGATAGTGATGAGACACACAAAGAAGAGAAATTAAAGCAGAGAAGAGGAACAGTACACAAGAGCAAGAGCAAAGAAGGTCTTGCGGTAGATGCATTTAGGACCAGCAAAGACCAGCAGGGTTAGGGAAATTAGGCATGGACATGTGCAGGGCCAGACCCTCCCAGATAGATGGAACTGCAAATGTAAAAGGCCCCAAAGTAAGAGCATATCTGGCTTGTTCAAAGAGAAAGGAGGCCAATATGCCTGGTGCTTGATGAAGAAGTCTGGTAGAAGATGATGTAGTGAAATAATGGGAAGTGGCCATAGCTAGAGGCCATGGGTATGATGCTGTCAAACCACTGTAGGGTTTTAAGAAGAGGAGAGAGTAACTCTTAGCATTTCCAAGTAACACTCTGGCTATTGTGTTGAGAATAAAGTTGGAGGAAGATTGGAGAAGGCATAAGTCGGGAGAAGAGTGATAAGTTTTTTTGAAAAAATTTAGGTAAGAAATGATAATCTGGTAGTGATGGGTAGTGGTAGGAAATAGCCAATTCCCACACCTATATTATAGTGTAGAGACAACAGGACTTGCTACTAGATTAGATATGGAATGTGAGAGAGAGGGATGCCAAGATATGTGGAATGAAACACCAGAGGATGGAGTTGCCTTCGATAAGCATGAGAATGAGGTAGGATAGAAGAAATAAAGATGGTTAGAAAGGAAACAAAGTATATCAGAATTTTTAAATTGTCATGTAAAGAAAAACTGCAGCTTCAGGACACAAAATTCACTTCATCCCTCTTTTTCTTTTCAGCCAAGACACAATAAACCCTGGCAATTTACTTTCACCTGAGAATTGGCCTTTTTCTGCCTGTGCATAGATTGTCTCCTTTCACTTGTGATTGTGTTTCCCTCAACAGATCATGTCTCAGTCTCAAACATATGCAAATGGTTTACATTCTACCACAGCTCACCAGATGGGTAACAAGAATGACAGTAGGAATGCACATCCTCGTTCATTCATCATGCAGACACTTCTAAAACCCCATAAAGGCACCAACTCCAGATCATTAAGGAGCCTCTCTCTTGAGGGCCCAGACTCTATTTCTTTTAAACATGTGTATTTTTAAATTTAAATTTCTGTCTAACAAATCTCTTTATGCCCCTTACTGATGCATCCAGAAAATACTTTTTCTGGTATCAGAGTCTGAGAACCGGCAACTTAATTCTATGGGTAGGGTGGGTCCAGGTTCTTTTTCAGTGGGAGCTTTCTTGGATCTCCTCTGGTGTCAGGGTGAGTTGGCAGAGTGGACTAGGTGAGCATTCAGTTCAGGAACTGCTAAGTCTGAGATGCCAACGCTATATCTATATGTGGACCTTCAGTAGGTAGTTAAATATAAGAGCTGGAATTATTTGGGTATCAACAGCAAAAAGATAATATTTAAGAGGTGACTCTTGATAAGAACAGTAAGGGAGTGAGTGTAGATATAAGAAAAGGTTCAAGGACTGGGGTCTGTGGCACACCTAAGTTATGAGATCAGGGTAATAAGGAGGACTCAACAAGGATGGGTGAAAAGAGAAGGCCAGAAGCCAACTACAGTGGCACATTTCTGTAATCCCAACTACTCAGGAGGCTGAGGCAGGATGATCTCAAGTTCAAAATCAGCCTGAGAAACTTAAAATAAAATGTACAAAAAGGCTGAGTACACAGCTTAATGTAGAGCAGTTGCCTAGTATATGAGAAGCCCTGAGTTTAACTGCCAGTATTGAAAAAAGAAGAAAGGAAAGAAGGAAGAAAGAAAGGAAAAAAGGAAGAAAAGAAGGAAGGAAGGAAGGAAGGAAGGAAGCCAGAGAAGGAGAAAAATTAGAACTTGCGGATTTCTGAAACCCAAGTAAAGAAGCTGTCTTAAGGAGAAAGAGAGTAAATGTGCCTGGGTTGTGGGTCAACTGAGAGTTGTCCATGAAATTCAGAGAAATGGCACTGGTGAACTTGATAAGAGTGCAGGTGGTAGAATCTGGTTTGAAGAGTCTTAGAAAGAGAACAGAGAAGGAACAAAACCAGTTTCTCTTTAAGGAGTTTCTTTTTTTTCATTAAGAGGGTGAAGGGAGGAGGGAAGGGAAATGGGGAAAAAATAAGAACCAAGATATATCATGTAAAGGTACAAGATCCCATGATGAATGTAACTGTATTGTATACCTAAAATGTACCAATAAAAGAATTTAAGCAAAAAAAAAATTATCAAAAAAGTATATATGCATCTCAATTAATACATGAATTTTCTTTATACCTATTTTAGCCTCATTCCAATTGTCACCTTTAGTGAAAACTATACACTTGGGTAAATATATAGACTCTTTAAAATTTTCTGAATCTCAGAATGTAGAAGATAAGATTGAGGCCTAATTGGCTTCCTCTGTGAGCACTAAGAAGAAAGAGAGCATGCAAAAGTGCTAACAAGCTGCAGGGAAAAGTAAAAATACCTGAGATCCTGGGAAGTAAAAATACCTGGACAAGAACCACGGAGGGTGGGAGACAAATGAATCCTGTGGAACTCTAATTGCTCGTGCCTAGGTCTGAGTCAACAAAGCCAAAGTGTGCCAGTCACTCGAGGCTTTATGCGGAAGGGAGACAAGAGTCCCTGGGCCTCCATATTTTAACCTGATTCTTTTTTAACCTTTTCCTCCTTGTCACTCCTTGGTCAGGTTCGAGCCCATAGGCTGGTTCCTACACAAGGATGGTAATGTTATAGATTGAATTGTTTCATCCTAGAAGATGTTGAAGTCCTGACTCCTGCCGTCTTGAAAAGTGACTATATGGAAATACAGTCTGCAGGTGATCAAGTTAAAATGAGATAAGTATGTTGACAATAATCCAATATACTATGTCCAATTTTTTAAAAAAGGACATTTGGACATAGACATGCACTGAGAGAATATGTGAAGACACAGTTCACCATCTACAGTGGAAAGGAACATTTCAGGTGAGCAGAGGAAAGGAAAGAAAATAATACAGAATCTCCTTCACAGTTCTCAGAAGGAACCAACATTGCTAACGCCTTGATCTAGGACTTTCAGCTCCACATCTCCGATAGAACTGCCACTGTAAAAACCACTTACTTTGTGGCAGTTCATTATGCAAGCCCTAAAAAAGCAATACATAAATTTAGTAAATTTACCAAGTAGCATTTACTGTATGCATATTTGAAGACATTAACACAAGGCAACCAAAAACAAAAATCCACACACAAACACATAACATTTGCTGGTTTGTTTTTTTTTGTTGTTATTGTTGTTTGTCTTTTTTTTTGGTCTTAATTGGAAATTTTTCATGAAAGGAAAAATTAAAGGAATTTAAGGTAGTAGTTGATTATTCCAGGTGCATTAAACATTTTATTTGCCTAGAAATGAATTATTTATATAATCAGAAAGGGAAAAAATCTCTTCAAAAAATTTATGACTGTATTTTGTTTGTTAATGTCAGGATGACCATGATAGCTTGCTCCCTGGCAAAGCCAATTTGACAACAGTGTCAATTAACTCTTAGAGGAACAGTCTTTTATTTACAAGCAATACTGGCTTCAAGTTTCAGTTCACCAAATTCTTCAGAGAGCAAAAGAAAATCACAGTACTTGGAGGTTAATTTTAAATGCATCCATGTATTGTCTGGCCCAATTCTTGGCGGTACAATTTGTTGATTTTTTTTTTAACTTCTCCATTGGGATGTAATTCACATACTATAAAATTCATTTAACATAAACAGTTCAATGAGTTCAGAGTCGAGTCACCATCAGCACAATCTAAGTTTAGAATGCTTTCCTTGCTCCTAAAAAAAATCTTTTACTCATTAGCAATGACTCTGAATTTCCTCTCTGACCTCAGCAACAGGTAATCACTAATCTCCTTTTTGTCTGTAGATTTGCCTCCTCTGGATATCTCAGATTTGCCTTTTCTGCAGTAGTCCTCTGTGTGGTCTTTTGTGAGTAGCTTTTGCCACTCACCCAAATATTTTTAAAGAGTAGTTCATTCTTTTTTTATTGCTGAATATTATTCCATGGTATAGATATACCACATTTGCTTATCTGTTCAGCAGTTGATGGACATTTGGGCTCCTTATAATATTTGGCTATTTGGTTACTGTGACTAATGCTTTTACGAACATTGATGAATACCTGCTTGTGTGGACATAAGTTTTCATTTCTTTTGTATTATACCTAGAAGAGGGAGTGAAATTGGTGTCATATAGTAAATCTATATTCAGCAATTTGCAGAACTACCACATGATTTTCCAAAGTAGCTACATCATTGTACATTCCTATTAGCATTAATTGAGAGTTTTAGTTTTGTCT